CGTGAAGTCATGAATGTGAGAAATGCAAGTACCATAATAAGCTTTCAGTAATCGCCACAAGAGTGGCAAATTCCAAACTTTTTGTGCACTGTGTGAGGAAGCGACTCTTACTGGATGTTAGATGGGAGAAGATTGCCTAACTCAAGCGAAAACTTGTATTTTACACAGAAATATGTTAACTTGTCAGGAGTCATTCGCTTAGCTTCAACAAATACATGCTAACCGATAGCAATGTTTTGGTTCTATATCACATTACCGGAGGATGGCAAGAAGGACATGCCGTAATGTACTGACAGGCATCTGAACAACAGCGAAGCACCACTGGTTGGCTTTTTCAGAACTGCTTTAATCGATGTATCTTAATGTGCATACTATTAGCACGATCACCGACGATCAAGCAGACAACGGTGATTCGTAGATACCTGCAAGCCATAGTGTTGCGTCTATTCAAGTCCAATAGTCGGCATTCAAACAACTGTGACAAAGAAAAGCTGCGTAATGGGACGTCGCAATCTTAAGTTGAACGTGCGCAAACATTGGTTGACACATTAATTAGGATTCCGTTTGCTGTGCGCAATAGAAATATAGATTGCCGATCGAACGATTCATCACAAGCAATGACGTTAACATTTACACTGGTTTAGTACAAGTGGCGAACTCCCGCTCTTCGACAGGTGACAAAAAAATGAGCCCATGACGAAGGGCTACACCTGTCGCTCATAAGGGCTTGCGGGCAACATTTCCTGTGATTTGTGAATGGGTTGCGTGAACGACAGGATCTTTTGTTTTGCATAATTCAGCAGCGATGTCAATAATAGGTTGGTGTCATAGACAGGGCTCTAGAAGGTGAACTGGAAAGTGACGACAGGATTTGCCACATGGAGCGGTACATTCTTGCAGTCCTTAAGGCTACCACTTTGTAAGACCTTTTGCACATGGTAGCGCCAGCTGACTCTAGTTGCATTAAGTTGTCGTAAATGATAGATCGAGTGTGCGTAAGACAAATGCGGTGTTACCATACACGATCATCGATGTCCGGTAGCCAAGTTAATTACACATTTCTATTAGTGTAGAGCACATTACACATTACTCGTGTGAGGCGGCGAATCCACATCTCTTTGACAAACGAGCGTCAACTGCATCAGCTTCAGCAAAACTGCATTTTGGCTGAACTAATATGTTTTCAATCACTCAGCTTGTTTTCGCAAAGCAGCTTTGTGACACGTTCGCTGTCTAACAAACTAATTTGCATCCAAAAGCAACCTGTAAAAGCACCTAAGCATTCTGAAGATTTGGACGCTCTAGAAAAGCATCAACATCGAGTAGCTAGGTAAAAGTGATGCAACAGCGTGTTAAATATGACGTTGTTGGAATTTCAAACGTAGCAGCTCTAACAGGGGCGCCAAAATCTCTGTGCTGCATGTCCATGACGCAAAGTATACGGAGCTAGCGAGAATAAACCGTCAGTAAATAAAGCAAAAAATAGAGAAATTGGCTGGATGGACTGTAAAATCTGGGAAACAAGTTAGTAAGGGGTCGCTGTACGCTTCTTACAAGGTTAGCTTTTTCGTTCCTCTTGCTTTTTGATCCATACAGACAAAATCCGGGTCCTCAATGATTGCCCCGTTGCAAATTTCTTTGCATACTTTAGTTTATTTTCAGCCTGGTCTTTTGCTGTAAAAGTCTTATCGCGTACAGCGTTGCTGCCTATGCCAATTCCGAACTGCCACAATAAAACAGCCAAATTGTTTCCTGATCAGTTGGCTGGGCTTTGCTAACAAGGACATTAAATGATTCTCCAGTGAATTGTTCAAATCAGTAAAGTGAATTAATTGGTTTTGGTTGCGACAACTTGCAAGCGAAACATTTTGGCAGTAGCATGATTAATACCCAACAAATGATATGGCTAGATTTAGCATTCCCGTAAGCAGGAGCTGATCGCGCACCAATCCAGTTAGCATACAATAAAACTTAATCATTATCCCAAGAAGCAGTAAAATTGGCGAAATACCTTTGTGCGATTGTGCCATTAAAACCAACAACATAAGCATCAATTTGTCCTTTCCCACCTTGTCACAAATTCTTTGATGGATTCTCTAACTGACTTTCTGAAATAAGGACATTTAAGCGTACATAAACGCAGAATACTCTAGTGTTAGATTTTGTATATTTGGTTATTTTTCATCGCTAATTTGCTTTATTTAATAAAGAATTCATCACGGCTGCGTTACGATGTGCGGAGCGCATCCGTCTTTCTTGTCCTCGGAAATTCGCCTTAAAGCAATACAGCTGATTAGCCGATATAATCTAGACCCAGAGCTTTTCACTAACTTATTTGTGCATTAAAACGCCTTTACTCTCGCATTGCTTGTGCTAGGGACAAAAAAGGTCTGACTATGGGTTATGATTTTTACTCTAGCTCAAGTTATCTCCTTTTGATCAAGTAAACATGATGAATATACTTAATGTTGTGACAGTGGATTGACAAATACCACTAAAACACCTACAAGTGCGCGCAGGATTAAAAGTGGTAGTTTTTGTACAAAACCATATGCATAAATTGCCAAAGAAACGCTATTGAACTGAAGATTCCCCGTTCGGCTGCAGTAAGACGCGTAAATTATTTCAAGGTTGTGGCCTTAGTGTCTATGCGACTTAGACAGTTTACTCGCCAGAATGTTAAAAACACTACCGTATTTTACCAGACTGAACGCCGTTTGAGTATCACCTATTGCTTGTCTTGGCCGCTGCTTCCAGTTTTGTCAACAAGCAGCGTATTTTTTGAAAGCAAGTAATTCTCTTGGTGCTCTTTAGCACGCAGTACGCTACCGTTAACAACAAGTGAATTACAGGATAAAAAATGGGTTGTCGTCCTGCGTCCCCTTTAGGTTTGGCGACATCCGTCATTAAAGCGAATAATTCTCGAAATTACACTACCAATCTCTCGCGGTAATATAGAACGCAAAACTTACCTTGTAAGATTGTTCAGATAGTTCACAAATTTTCCATAACTGTGTGCCATATCTATGAAGCAGCTTAGGCGTTTATCGCAGCATATTTGCAAAATCAGCTGATTTATTTGCATGTAAAACACAAATACGGGAGTTTGATGCTTTCCATGCTTAGTTTGTCAACTCAAGTACTGAAACTCTTATCTTAATATTAGAACAAAGTTTTATACTAAGGAAATATAAGTGTTTATTATTAATGATTGGATCCCACACATTATACTTAAGGTATTGCTTAGTTGATATTTGGCGACGTATAGACGTGTGAACAACCCACCCGCATCCATGCGAAGTCACTCTTTCGGTAATAATTAAATATGTAAATAAATGAACGTTTATTCTCGACAAGACGAGGTACATTTAGGCAGAGATAAACGTTATATACGAAAGGCAGCAAAGAGCATTTAAAACATAAACTTTCACATTATGCCTGGATTTATCTATTGGAATACCAGTAATGTTACATGGTCAACCTACACGATTGGATTAACTCCTGTTTCAGTATAGCCACGCGAGTGTGAATGTAAACACATCAGTAACTATTGGCATCTCGTGATAATTCAGAAGCTTTCTAGAGATAACCACTCATACCTGGTAATCACTGTCATCACTTTGAATCTTTGTCCTTTATAAGGTACGATGATGATAACAAAACGGCGAAACTGCAATTTTGTAGGGTGGGAGATACAAGCGTTGGTGTCGCGCGATAATATTAGCGACATCATACAACCTATTCGTTACATAACTTATAGCGACTTGCGAAGATGGTTGCATCGTTTGCGTTGCAGAACAGCAAGATATGGAAGGATTGACATGAGACGTGATCTAATTATGAGGGGTTTAAACGTTATGCTAAACGTTGTTCCACTAATGTGTGGTAAACCTAAGTACCTTGGCAAAGACGGAGAACTGAAGCTCGGCTAAGGAGTAGTTCAAATTCTGCGTTTAAGTTTTGAAATAATTTTTTAAATGTACGTAGATAATGTTGAAAAGAAGAGTTTAGGGATATCCAGATAGAGTCATGAGAAATAAGGACGTCTTTTTGCATCAATCATAAGTAATAATAAAATACGTGTTATCGGCTGCTTGGTGGGTATCAACATAAGGCAGAGCAGTCTGTCGGGCAAAAAGATACAAATGTTTGGGTCAAATGTGTAAGTAAAAATGATGGATTTTATATTTAACATCAAACACAACATAGGAAACAAACAAAACACTGCTAATTTCACAGCCATAACGAATTGGCGTAACACGATAGGAGTTCGCAATATCTGGTAGTTGCAATCGGTGATTTTATTCTGTATTACTATAGATAAGCACTGTTTAATGTAGGATTGTCCATCCTGTCCGTTTTAAGGTTTTTTAAATCCAGGAGACCAACTACACTCTTTGTAGATCCATACAAATTTTACTAATCATTTGTTGATATATTTATTGTTACATATGTACGTACGAGTATAGGTGGCATCACTGGCAAAATAAATCCATATATTTGAGGGGTCATGTACTTACCTATGTTTAGCATTTAAGTGCAGGGCTCTCTCAGAGCGCTGCCTGTTTAAAAAACCTCTCTTAATATAACTAAATGATTACTTGTTGGTTATGCTTATAATGCATTTTTACAGACCCGCCAAATTGATTGTATATTGTTATGAAAATGTCCACAGCATATCCACCGCTATAAACTGCACTGCATTTCTGTAGAATGCTTTATGTCATGTGCTCTGCGGATGCTGTATAACTTGTATGTATGCATGCTTGTGCGTATCGCTGAAGGGCCAATAAAATTGACCTAAGTAAGAAAAGTTGCATATACTGTAGTTACTGAAACCAAATTTTAGTATCCGTACTTAGACACCTGTGGTGATTATGTGGCGATTAAACGATGCACTGTTTTGCTTTACACATATAAATGTATTGTGTTTTATTGTTCAGTTTCAAACAGCCTTACAAGTCAAAGCTGATGACAAGGATACGAATTTACTCACTGACATGACGCACTCAGAAGTTTTGTCCGCCATACATGGAAGTCCGTTACCGTTGTCATTCAAAGAGATTGAACTTTTACGCAGAGGCCTACCCAAAACGGCTGAAAAGTTAATAAAACTTATGAACAATGTCGGATTGCAACATGCAGTTTCTACTGGCCAGATTGATAAAAGGACTTTCCAAGATTTGCGCAAATCACTCGTATTTTTGAAAACAGGTAATGAACTTATGGATTATAATTAATTGCATTATTTAAAATGTAACCTTATACTGAAGTGAATAAGATGAAATGCCGATCGACACGGTCTACGAAGTATTGTAAGTTGATCACTTGATTTGCCACGGAACCGGCAATGTCAACTAAGAATTAATACAAATATGCATAGCAAATTACCAGTTAACTAAGTAAAAAAACACATTTAGGAGTAAACAGTGACAGTGATTTTTAGCGAAAATATTTTGGCTTGTTCTGGTGTAAAATCGAATTACGGTTTAATTGCCGATCTGAGGAAATTAGACCATTCCTAACCAAATCCCCTATGAATTAACTTAAGTTATCTAATTAGGCTTACAGAATTTATCGTGGACTTCGTAATTCGCAAGTAATTACACTAACAATAAGCGCATATGTTGTTTGTTTTTTTTAATTCCATAGAAATAATAAATTTATACCTGGCACAGTTTTTCCATTTGATGAAATGTGATATATACTAGAATACCAGGCACCTTTTAACGTGTTTAACAACATCCTCACTATTGTGCATCTTAATATATCAAAATTGCTAAGTTGTGGATTTTGTTGCTTTTCGTTCCGAGTTACTGTTCTCCAGATGTAGCGCGTCAGTATCTCCGTAACAAGCTAACAGGTAAGTTGTTGTCCAGTGTAAACCAGATTTTGCTGTTGGTTTCTTCTTCCTATTTCCTTCCCATTTCATCTTCAATCATGTTAGGGTAAGCAGCTCTCGGGCGTTTTCATGCTCTCCTTGCGGTCACCTCGCATTCGGTTCTCCAACGGCAGCATTGATAACGCCGTTCAGTTTGCCACGAAGTGTACCGCAGGCAAATCTCCCGTTCAGGCTCCACTCTTACTAGCTAGTTGAGATTCGACTGTTTAACCGCCAATAAGGTGTTTCGTTCGCTTTTCAGCCCCTTCGGCCTATTAAGACCCTCGTAAGCCTTGGACAGGGAAGTCCACGGAACCCTCAACCTGACTCATATTACAACAGTCTTCCTCTATTGTATATTAATCGTATATTTCCAAGTTGACTAAGCATTTGTTAGTGGCTATTATCACTCGAAGGCTTCTGTAACGAAACTTTACGTAAAGTGTATATAATTTTCTTCTCATAAGTAAAAATGCAGTGCGCTTACTATAATTGCATTAGAGCCCTTTTTGTAATAGTTCCGTGTTAAATTATATAACTACGTAGGAAGCGAATGTCCAGTAATATTTAGAATCTGTATACTTTTCTTTATATTTTTTGCGCATACTTGACTGCTAATTTTAATAAGTGTCTCATGGCTGCTGTCACCTGTCACATCTTGATGTCATCCAGAATAGGTTCATTTCCTAAAAGTAATCCAAAAGGATGGACTAAATAGTTGTAAGTCTGTGTTCATATATTCATAAGGAACCTACCAATCTCCAGGATTTCCATAACCACTCATGCTGATGACGTCAACCAGGGTGCATTTAGACCCAATTGCTGTACGCATGATGCTATTTCGTAAATTGTGCATTCGATATTGTCTACGTTGTCTAAAAGATGCAGATCCGTACGGCTTCTTTGTTTAGACTTTGCAATTTTCTTCGAAATTCATGACAGCGCAGTGCTGCTCGGACTACATTTTTGAATGTAATTCACTATGATATTTCTAAGTTGTTGGGTCGAAAGTCTCCCCATACCATCAAGAGTTATTGGATGTAAATAAGCTGACTAGGTTGTCTTAAGTTTTATAACTTTCTTCATTGAGATATCTACGCTCCAAACTTGTTTAGACGAATTTGTGATTTTCTAGCCATCAATGTACCTTAAATGTAACAAGTTGTAAAATATTGAGGTAACATGTTCCGTTCTCCGCCTGTATAAACTGCACGTAATTTTATATGCTCCTTTTGAGGACAAAACTAAGCCTATATGATTTACCGTTAAATATCTGTGTGTCCATTATTTCCATAAACTCTCTTGTATACGCACGTGTTGTAAATAGTTCACAAAGTCAAAAATTGGACACTTTGCTTCCTCACTTAAAAAGCTTCATATGCTGCAAAGTTTAAGGTTGCGATTTGAAACTTTTGTTGACTATTCCAATTCTTGCATTGTGCCCAATAAACTTTCCTTAACTACTGCGGAAGGAATATTTTTCTGATTATGCAATCAAGTAAACGTGTTTTTAGCTATATTGACTTACCTGTTGATTTCTAAGTTTATTTTCTTGTTCATAAGTCTTGTGACACATGCGTGAATTATTCTTCTAAGGCATTGTCTGACCGCCTTCATTCGTTACATAATGCTTTCCCACAAACCTCATTTGTTTTTACACACGCACATATTTGAAATTTTATGCTTTCCCACTTATTCGTATAGAAACACCATCTTGACTTCATTGTCACGTTTAATTGTCGGACGAAGAGAGAGAATGCGGCTTTCTGAATGACATATACACATATTTGTCTATCGAATTCCTTAGTTTGCAGATGTAGTTTCGACTGGCTCCCTGATTCAGTTTGTCCACAGTGATAATATACATGCTGAGAACGCACTGAGCTGGGTGTATAAACCTATTTTGGCTTGAATTGACTTGACGAACGTAGCCGTGGTATCTAACCCACCTACCAAACTCCAATTGTAAGAAATCACACGGTTTTCATTGCATTATATTACCTTGGTGCCTGAGTCTGAACATTGACAATCTTAAATCGCAATGGCCCCACTGAAGTCTCACCGTATTCGGCGAGCTAAGCGTATTGTACTTTCCACGCCACCAGCAAAGCAACTAAAATGTGAGGCGCCGAAAACAAGGCGAATCTGTTCGTCGGCTAAAAGTAACCCCATCGCAGAACAACATAAGTTGTTCTCTTTGGAACCACAACTTAATAAGATGAGAAAAATTCTGGCCCTCTTTGAACCCCTCAAAGTCATCTGCTTACATTTGACTATTTTAATAACCCATTGGAGAAGACTGATCCTGTTATAATGTAAAAAGCAAGGCAGTTACTTGCCCCTGTTGCCTCTGAAGGGCACGACTAATTAAGTAGAGCAAAAATGTGATTGCATTTTAATGTTCCGGATAGGTTGGGTCTGAATAAAGTAAAACAAAACGATAGTGAAAACTTGTAAAATGTGTTATGTTAACTGCCCATACCAACGTTTAAAAAAAGGCACCAGGCCGTGTCATCCAAACATTTTCAAATTTTTGAACAAGGAAATCGTGCAGCGATTCTTTCATTGTGGACCCATCCCAGGCCAGTGCACGCGATTTAATAGCATTTTGAGTAAGCCAGATAAATCACCCCTGCAAACATCCGAAATTGGCACTGTGCCGCGAACACCGGAATATTTAACTAGGCTCTTCGAGAAATCTCAGCTAAATGTCCAAAAGACAAGTGTATCCAAGGTGGCTACTAGATGCATTGATTTAGACCTCTACACATTAACAACGTCGTCAACTATTTCCAAAGCCGTCCTTCTTTGCTCAATTAAAACACCCTCTGAACAAGGAACAGAGAAAGTGGGTTCAACTATTCCTGGTAACAGTACTCCTATCATATGGAACTCTTCATATGTAAGGATTAAAGAAAATGCTAAGTGCTTGGAACAGTGGAATAATGACAACTGGTTGATTATAGCACAATCCTGTCCAAACCAACAAGACACGTGCAAATAGAGACCACCTGATGTAATGTATAGTCCACTGTCGCCCATGAGGGACATCTCCAATCCAGGGAGCTGTAAGTTTAAATAAATTATGTATACTTAATACTCGGTCGCACCCAAAATTCTCTATCGACCAACCTCCTGCGACCACCAGGGTAAACAAAATATCATGTTGTATAAGACCATTAACCACTGTCCCTTAGCTACACCTATTTCTCACCCTACACTCCATGAAGTTCACTGGATGTACACAGATAATGGAAGGACATCGGCCAGTAGGACTTTGTTATCACTTTTCCATGTTTCTTCAACTTCTCAAGCGGCTTCTTCAAACGACCACTTTTAGCGACGACCGGAATGGACTCGCACCCATTCCCATGTCAGACAGATCCGCCGGAGATCAAGATCTTGATCCTACTCCTCTTTCAATTTGTCCAGATGAAAAAGTTAGCCCATTGTCAAAACCAACGGCAACCTAAGCATGACGCATCGGTTCTCGTCGTGCTCCCACTGTCTGGATATTCACACCTGACATGCTCCCATTATCAACAGCCGTTCTAATGGCTAACTGGGGCCCACTATACTCGCACTTACCTACCATGTGCACCAGGATCGAAGGCAAAGATTCATATGCTCACACAACAGACAGCGATAATTCCAGAATACTTAGTATCTTTTCCGTGATCCTGATTAATGCCAGGTCAATAATCAACAAACGTCCTTTTATAAAAACACTTGCACAGTCCAGTGGCCCACAAGTGATCCTCGTCACTGAAACATGGTGTTCTTCAAATTCGCCTGACTCTACTCTGGTGGTTTCAAACTACCACTTATTTTGAAACATCGCTGGGGCAGGAAAGGTGGTGGGTGTAATATATACCTGCACCAAGCATTTACAGCTAAATCTGTAGACCACTCACAATAAGGAAACATCACTGAATCTAATTGGCTGTCAGTTGCAGGTGTATTATCCTACATACTGATCGCATGTTTCTACAATCCACCGAATGCCTGTAATGTGAGTATCACCAACATCACTTCTGCATTTGATTTCACATCAGAGTTGCGACACAGCCAGAGCATAATTGCCGGCGATTTCAGCCTACCGAAAATACGCTGTTAATCCCACCAAACGTTTACCTTATAAGCCTCTTTTCTTTTCTCCATCAGAGCAGGGGCTGGACGTAATGAATTACCAGTCCAAAAAGGTCCGGCAACGTACTGGACTTAATATTCACATTGGGTATACCCAACCCACAGACCGAGATCTTAAACAATCTCCCAGGCAGCGATAATAAAAGGATCAGTCTCAGTTTCCAAATTAAATTCGTCACCAAAC